AAATCAGAACACGTGCGCTTGCAAATGTGAACATTATTCCTATAATGAGACCGTGTATCATAATCTCCGATGAATATTGCAAAGAGAAACACGGGTTAGAAGAAAACAAATGCTCGTTTCTTTACGTTCACATCCTCATTCTGTAGAGTTTGTCTTACTTTATGAAAATTGTGTAAAATCTCACTCCGAACATTTATCATAATGGCAAATTATAATTATTGTATCTTATTGACAACATTATTTCCTTCTATAATGTACTAAGGAATTGCCACCGGCTGGTTGATGCTGAACAAAAAAAAAATTACACAATTGCACTATCGCGAATAAATCAGTTCTGTGGTCAGACAGGGCATGCTTCTGTCATCTGCGCGCCCTGGGTAAGCTGCGTCCTTAACTCAATAAGAGAACAGACAATGCCGTTGTGGTAACTCTAATCAGTCAAGATTAGATTACTGTAACAGTTGTTTGTGGGGTTTGCCTCAGAACCGAATTCAGAGACTCCAGAAGGTACAAAATGCTGCAGCACGCATTGTATCGCGGATAAAGAATAAATCTGACCCCATCACCCCAGTTCTACGAGATCTCCATTGGGTTCCTGTGAGTGAGCGCATTAATTACAAAATTCTGTCCCTGGCGTATAGCTGCACAGAAGGCTCTGCACTGGAATATCTTAAAGAACTGATTTATAAACAAGTATCCCTAAAGAACCTGCGGTCTTCTACACAGTCCTCACTGAAAATTCCCGTGTGGCAATGAACACAGAAAAAAGTCTTACGGAGTGCGCTCTTTTGAAGCGATAGCGCCAAAATTATGGAACAGTTTGCTTCAATCTTTGAGGGGAATGTAAATGATAAAAAAAGTCATTTAAGAAACATTAAAACACTTTTATCTTTAAATAAATGTAAGTAAACCAGAGCGCAGTGTGCATGCTAAAGTAGCATGGATACCAGCGCTATATAAATTTCCAATCAATCAATCACTAAATTAATTGACATGCCTCTTGTTGCCAATCAACAGCACTCCTGTCTATTAGATTTAGAGAATGGGCTGTACAGGGTACAGACATGGGCGCCCAAAAATAGACACAAAATTTATTAAAGATTTATTAAAGTAAAAAGAAAATAAAGAGAAAGTAACTAAGCTGATGTCCTGTCCGTTCGTTCACCATACAAATACGCTACATAAAATTAAAACTATATTAAAACATTACTAAAAATTCCCCCCCCCCCTGGAAAGTTAATAGATTTTTTTGCCCCCCCCCCCTAGAAAGTTTTCTGCGGGCGCCCATGC